AGCCCAATAAATTGTTGATTTTAATTTTGTTTTTTCATTTTATATTTTTCAATGGGTTAATTTCACAAATGGTCACTGAAATTACAGCAAAATAACAAAATAGTCAATGAAATTCCAAACTTGCATTAACGGTCACTCAACTTTCAGGCACTTTCAAAAATGATCACTGGGGTAAGTTTTTGGACTTTTTTGTTCTAATTGAAACCTAAATTAACAAAACACGGCCCCTTCAAAATTGGAGGACCTACAGTGTAATTCCTTTTTTTATAAAACACCAAACCCATAATTGTCTGTAAACTTCCGGCGATTTATGCCACACTTCCAACCAGCAAGAAGAAAATACAGAATCACCAGCCGAAGGTGAGCCTCGACACTCCCAAATCGTAGGTAAGCTTCCAATCAACCTTAATCATCAATTTCTTCTTCAAAAATCATACGGGACAGTGAATATACTTCCAATTTTTTCAGCGAAAATCGAAGTGTGGGGACGACCGCAATCTTCTAAAATATATTCGACATGTCGGATGTGGATGAACAAGATGAAGGTTAGCATCTTGGTTTTAACGTTTTTCGCGTAAAGGTACTTTTGACAGATTTTGGGTCCATTTTAATTGGTTCTTTTTGGGTTGAAATGGAATAAAGTCTCCAATTAATATGTTGTCAGTTCACGTAAGGTAATAATGGCAGACAAAATATGTGTATGACTTGGTGAAGAACAGATCTGCCCATTTCTTATTGTGTTGTCTGTTATCTAGGAATCACTTTCATCAATATTTTTACATCTTACTATAACTTTTCAATTTACCTTAGCTGATACACTATATTTAAGCATTAAGTTATTTCTCCAATATTATGTTTTCTGTAGCCACATGAAACTGAAAAACAATGTTTGCATACAACCAATACTTACAGTTCATCACCTTGTTCATCATATGTTCCTATAGATTATTATTTTGCACTGTACAGTAAGCTAATTCTGTTTTATAATTTCCCATTGTTTGGGTGATTTGAACAGTGCTTCGGATAAAGAAGATGTCACCTTTAATGATTCCGATCACAACCTTGGTAAAGAAGACGACATTTTCTTTCAGGAAAATGTTACCCAGAATATTGAACTTGACATAAGGAATGAGATAGTATCGTTGGAAGCAGCATATGAATCTGAAAATTCTGAATATGACCCTCAGATGACCTTCGAAGCGTTCATTCTAATAGTAATGAAGAAGTTGTTATGTACCCAGAATTTAATGATGATGTAGATATGGTGGATCCCGTGCTTGAGGTTGGATTGAAGTTTAGGTCCAAAAAAGAGGTAAAGGGTGTCGTTAAAAACTTCAGCATTCACAATAGATTTGAGGTGGTCTTCCTGTATAATGATAGATGTAGATTAGAAGGTTGTTGCAAAGAGAAAAATTGTCCATGGCGTATTTGGGTTTCTCCGTTGGAGGAAGATTCATCGTGGCAGATTAAATTGTTCGAATGGAATCATACCTGTAGTAGAGCATTGAAGAATATAAGTGTATCCGCTAGTTGGTTAGCCCATAGATACATTGAGACATTTAATATTGCGCCAAAGTGGGATGTGAAACTGTTTAAGGCAACTGTTATGAAAGAGTATGGTGTGAATATTGGTGACACAAAGGCATGGAGGGCTAGGAGACATGCTAAGGCGTTGCTTAGAGGATCGCTAGTTGGCAATTTGATTTGTTGGGTTTGTATGCATATGAGGTTAGGAGAACAAACACGGGCTCAACTGTTATACTATCTTTAGACGAGCTCGTGTTTAAGGTGATTTATGTTTGCTTCGATGCTTGCAAAAAGGGCTTCTTGGGTGGTTGTAGACCCGTTATTTGCATAGATGGGTGCTTCTTGAAAGGCAATTCTGGAACGTATTCTAATGGTCAGTTTGTGGTAGATTTAAATAGGAGGCATGCTCATGTAGAAAGTGGGATCTAACAGGTGTGCATTGTCCACATGCAATAGCTTGTATCCGTGAGTGGGGTAAGGATCCCTCACAGTTTGTGTACGAGAGCAACAAAGTTGCAACTTACGTAAAAGCTTACAAGAATTGCATATACCCTATAAATGGACCAAAAATGTGGCCTTCTAGTGGCTTCGACCCAGTGAAACCCCCAACTTGGGAAAGAGGAGCCGAAGAGGGGTTGAGGAAGCTGTATTGTCGAAGGAGAACTGAAAAAGATTGATAAGAGAGGTGATGGCAAGAAGAGATTGAAATGTAGTTTTTGCCATCAAAAGGGACACAATAAAAGATATCACTTGAATCATGCTTCATGGGCAAGCTACACAACAAATGAGGTAGAACTTTATTATTCTATATCATCATTTATTTATGATAGAGTGATGTTTAAAATTTACACTTTGGACAGCAATTTGCCTATTCACAACCGACTACTGTTGCTGGACTTGAACAAGGTGTAGCGCCGCATTTTCTTTCCAAGCCTAAGCCAAGGCCAGGAGCCAGTGGAAGTTCAAACTCGACGCCAACTCTTAGCGAAGCATGGAACAACTTGATGACGAAATGACGTCGGTTGAAGTCTATTATATTTTTTTTGTCAACGAACTCTAATTTTTTTCCCCAGGTACAAAAAGCAGATCACAGTATTTGGCTAGAAATCGCACATTTTGGGCAAATTATGAGGGTGTTTGGTATGGATTTTTGGGGGAAGAATTGATTTTTGAATAGTAATATGATGGGAAATGTGTGGTTGAAAAAGAAGAAAAAAGTATTGATGTGATGGAAAATATTATTTTATTGAAAAATGTGTGGTTGAAAATGAGAATTGATTTACTGTAGAAAATGAGAAGTTNAAATATTTGACACTATCTTTCTATATAAATAAAAAAAAAAAAGCAAAACAAGCAACCATAAAAATAAAAAAATAAAAAAAGCAAAACAAACGTCAATTTGGTGTTTTATAAAAAAGGGAATTGCACTTCAGGTCCTCAAATTTTGAAGGGATCGTGTTTTGTTAATTCAGGTTTCAATTAGAACAAAAAATTCCAAAAACTTACCTCAGTGACCATTTTTTAAAGTGCCTGAAAGTTGAGTGACCGTTAATGCAAGTTTCGAACTTCAGTGACCATTTTGTTATTTTGTTGTAATTTCAGTGATCATTTGTGAAATTGACCCATTTTTCAATATGACAAAGATATTTTATTTTCTTAAATTTCATACTAGTCCTCAAAATACCAATTTTTTAAAATTAAGTCCTCCAGAGAATTTGATTTAAAGATTTGTGAATCAAATAGCAATTGGGAAAGTCCAGTCCTATGACAGCAATGGTCTGTAGATTTTATATGGTTAATTTTCATTATAGTTTTAGTGCATCCCATTTAACGGTTTTGCATCTATATTATATTTTTTGACCATGTTTGGACACGACATCTATTTAGATCTCTTTTGGGAAATATACTCTTAAAATAATTTATCCATTTTCAATTACATATTTTTCAAACCTTTCATTTTCACTTAGAAAAATCTCTCCCAATCAAATGCTTAATGACGCTTATTATGTAACACGGAAGAATATTAAACAAAGTCATATTAAGAATATAGGTTCGTTCTTTGAATTTATCCAATCCAATACACCAAACTTATTGTGAAGATTAATTTAATAAAGTTCCTAATGTGCAATGAGCACAAGACATCACAAGTTTAAGAATTACAACCTTACTGTAATACCATGTTAACCCATGACTTTTGTTAATTTCATTTCTTAATTTCCCCTATCACAAAATAAAAAGATAAAATAGATAATGCAGAAATAAGAAAATTAGGTTGATACAAATGTAATAGTGACTTGGGACAAGGTAAAAAGGTAAAGAATAATCTACTAGTTTAAACCTTAGAAATTAGGATCCTAACAAATTAGGATCGACAACTTGAAGTTTGTAATTCAGTTAGCAAGTTTAGTTAGTTAATGAGCTGTAAATATTTTGTATCATGTTTCTTCCTGTTTTCTGTTTTCCTTTCCCTTTTCCTATTTATACTTCGGCTAGTAATACATTTGTAAGTAATTTTGGAATGAATAATTTTTCTTCCATTTCATAGCCTTGATCTTCAATATGGTATCAAAGCAAATGTACCTTCATTAGATCTTGTTTGAAGTTTCTAAACAACAATGGCTTCAGATCTTCAAAATCCATTATCAAATAATTTTTCATCAACAGCAATTGATGATGGAGCTAGTCCATACTTCCTTCATCATTCACATAACCCAAGCCTCATCCTAGTGTCGCAATAATTGGTTGGAGATAACTATGCATCCTGGAGTCGATCGACGTTGATTGCTCTTTCGGTGAAAAACAAATTAGGATTCATCAATGTATCCATCTTGTGGCCTGAAGATAATCAGGAACTGCTCAATTCATGGATTCGAAATAATAATATTGTCATATATTGGATCCTCAATTCTGATTCCAAAGAGATCTCTACAAGTATTATATATTCTGAATCTGCACATGAGATTTGGATGTATCTAAAGGAACAATTTCAATAAAGGAACGGGCCACGCATATTTCAGTTAAGGCAAGAATTGATAAACCACACACAAGGTCATTCCTTCACTAAGCTGAAAACGATTTGAGATGAGCTAAGTAATTATAGACCTATGTGTTCATTTGGAAAATGTGTTTGCGAAGGCACTAAAAGGCTTGTAGAACACTATCAGATGGAATATGTTATGTCTTTTTTAATGGGGCTGCATGAGTCTCTTACTCAGGTTAGAGGTCAATTACTGTTAGAAGACAACCCTAATGCTAAATGACTGCAACACTTTCTTCTAATTGTATTTCATTTACATTTTACTTGCATTTCATTTGTATTTACATTTTACACATGTCATAAGATCATTAGAGCAGGTTATTAGGCAGTTGTATTCCTAGTTGTTTATATTCCACAGCTCATTAATGAATTGATAAGGATTTTGGGGAATTTCCTTCATTCATCTCTTTCACCATCGGTTCCTGCTTCTATTTTCTGTTCTGCTACAGTTTCTTTCTTTTATTCTCACATGGTATCAGAGCTTTGAGAAGCAAACACGATGGAACAAAACCTACCTCCCCACGCCTCAATTCTTCCATTCTCAATCCCACATACCTCAATCTCAATGACCCAATCAACCCCTTTCGTCTTGACCACAGTGATAGCCCAGCCATTACTCTCGTTCCCGAGCTTCTAACCTTCGACAATTACACCACATGGTCAAGAGCTATGCGCCGTGCACTTCGCACTAAGAACAAAATTGGCTTCATCTTAGGTGCCCTGTTAAAACCCACTTCTCCCACAGACCCATTGCTCGAACTATGGGAGAGGTACAACGATATGGTTGTTTCCTGGATCCAAAACTCTATTAGCCCTTCCCTGAAATCTTCTGTAGCTTTTGTTGATGATGCTAAAGACATTTGGCAAGACCTCTGTGATCGTTTTTCCCAACAAAACGGCCCACGCATTTTTCAGCTAAAGAGGGATTTGTTCAGCCTTCTTCAAGATCGAGATTCTGTTAGTGTCTATTACGGTAAATTGAAATCACTTTGGGATGAACTTTCGATTTATGATCCATTTCCTACGTGCACCTGTGGTACCTTGAAAGTTCTTATGGATCGATATCAATGAGATTGTGTTCTTCAGTTTTTGATGGGACTTAATGAATCATATTCTCCCATCAGAGATCAAATTATGTTGATGGATCCCCTTCCCCCTGTAATCAAGGTCTTCTCCCTCATTCAGCAATAAGAACGACATTCTCAGATGAATCCAACTATATCACCTACTGAGTTCATGGCCCTTGCTGTTAAACATTTTTCCCCCACAACCAAATACCTGCCCAAACAAAACCCCAAGAAGGATCGACCATATTGCAATCACTGCAAAATTTCTGGCCACTCGATCGACAACTGTTTTAAGCTTGGCAATGCCGTTGCCCCTGTTTGTTCCCACTGTAATGTCACTAGCCATTCTGTTGACAAGTGTTACAAATTAAATCGTTACCCACCTAATCACAGGCTACATACTAAGCAGCAGACACAATCTACCATACTCGCCAATCAGGCCTCACATCTTGTTATGGATAATTCTGCTGATGACAGGGTTGGACTGACCAAGCATCAATACCAGCAGCTGATATCTTTGCTACAACCAAAGGATTCTTCAACTTCTCTTTCTTGCTCATCTGTCCCTGCCTCCAAAATATCTGGTATATACTCTTGCTCTTCTACACACGGCATTTTTCCTCATGATTCCTCAAGTTGGATATTAGACACGGGTGCCACAGACGACATGGTCTGCAACCCCTCATTTTTTACCAACATTCCTTTTCCTGTCGCCTACTCTGTTAAGCTTCCAAATGGTAGTTTAGCTCCTGTGACACATATTTGTACTGTTCAATTCAATCCTGTCATCACTTTGACAGATGTTCTCTGTGTGCCATCATTCTCTTTCAATTTAATTTCTGCAACAAAATTGACTCATAGCCTAACCTGCTGTATGCTATTTTTCTCTAATTACTGCTTCATACAGGACCTGCTTTCTTGGAAAACGATTGGGAAGGGTGAACTCAAGTATGGTTTATATCATCTCATGCGTTCAGATATCTCCCCTTCGGCTCTTGTTCAGTCTCTTTCAGCCCACACACCCTTCACTGCACAAACATCCATTACAAACAATGCTACCTGGACAAACTTATGGCATTTTCGTCTGGGCCATTTACCTTTTTCTAAGTTACAAATGATTTCTGATCCTATTGTAAGCAAGCATCTTCCTGATATTAATGAAAATCATTGTACTGTTTGTCCTCTTGCAAAATTTCACAGGTTCCCCTTTCCCCATAGTACTCACACTTCATCTCGAATTTTTGAATTAGTTCACTGTGACTTATGGGGACCTCACCCTACAATTCTTTATGATGGCTCACGTTATTTCTTAACCATAGTGGATGAGGTCCTGCATTATTTCCTTTTACAATTTGGTGGAAACACAATTTGAACTCAAAATTAAAACCTTACGAAGTGACAATGGTGCAGAATTTCATATGACCAACTTCTTTAATGAAAAAGGCATCATCCATCATACAAGTTGTGTGCAAACCCCTCAACAAAATGGCATTGTTGAAAGGAAGCACCAACATTTGCTTAATGTGGCTCGAGTCATACGATTCCAATCCAATTTTCCTCTAAAATACTGGAATGACTGTATTTTAACAGCAACCTACATTATAAATCGACTTCCCACCCCCCATTTTACAAAATCAAACCCCTTTTGAAATCCTTTTTAATAAGAAACCACAATATGCTCACATGAAGGTTTTTGGCTCTTCATGTTTCGCAGCCACTCTATCCCATAGTAGACAAAAATTTGATACTAGAGGCCGTAAGTGTGTTTTTTTAGGCTACCCCTTTGGCACAAAAGGATACAAATTATTAGACCTATCCACACATACCACTTTTATTTCAAGAGATGTCATTTTTCATGAATCTATTTTTCCTTTCCACCAAACATCATCACATTCCTCCACGTCTCCTCCTTCAGATTTTCATCTACCTATCTTTCATCCTAATCTTTATTCATCCAGTTCTGACCCTCCTACACAGCCACTACTCCTCTTCCCTTCCACCACATGCTCCCTCTACATCATCCCATTCTTCCCTCACATTCCCATCACTTCCTCCTAATTCTTCCCCACCTCCTACTCCTATAAATCACTCCCTACCTGCTCTTAGAAGATCTACAAGAGTTCGAACAGCACCACAGTTTCTCAAAGAATATCACTGTTCACAAATCATGCTTGATCATCCTTCACAGTCACTTTCCCAGATTGCGCCTGCTCCAAGTGATAAGTTTTTTCCCTTACAAAATTGCTTATCTTATCATAAGTTTAATCCACATTTCTTAGCTTTTACTACTTCCCTTTCTGCCCATACTGAGCCACATTCCTACAAACAAGCCTTAAAGAATCCCGGTTGGTGTAAGGCTATGGAAGCTGAGATTGATGCACTGGAAAGTAACCAAACTTGGACACTCACTGACTTACCACCTGGAAAAGAGGCCATTGACTGCAAGTATGTTTACAAAATTAAACTCAACTCTGATGGATCGGTTGAAAGGCTTAAGGCTAGACTAGTTGCGAAAGGATACACGCAAAAAGAGGGTATAGACTTCCATGAGACTTTCTCTCCCGTTGCTAAATTAGTTACTGTAAGGAGTCTTCTTGCTATAGCTGCCATCAAGGGATGGTTTTTGCATCATTTTGATGTAAATAATGCATTCCTTAATGGTGATTTACAAGAGGATATTTACATGAAGAAACCACCCGGCTACACTAAAGGACAGCCACACCATGTTTGTAAATTACTTAAAAGTTTTTATGGCCTTAAACAAGCCTCCAGACAATGGAATTTCAAGCTTACCTCATCTCTTCTTGAATATGGTTTTACCCAATCGAAAGCTGATTATAGCTTATTCACAATGCAAGATGGTTCTTCATTCATTGCCCTATTAGTTTATGTGGATGATATTTTACTTGCAAGTGATTCTCAAGCCTCTATTGATTCCATTGGAACTTTTCTTCATCATCAGTTCAAAATTAAAGACCTTGGCTGCCTTCGATATTTTCTTGGTTTAGAGATTGCAAGATCTTCCAAAGGCATTCATATTTCTCAAAGAAAATATGCATTAGACATTCTGGCAGATTCTAGAATGCTTGGCTGTACACCTCTTAAACTACCTCTTGATCAGAATTTTAAACTAAGTAAAACAGATGGAGTCCTCCTCACAGAACCATGCACCTACAGGAGATTAATTGGCAGACTCTTATACTTGACCATCTCTTGGCCTGACCTCTCTTTTGCTGTGCAGCTGTCTGTTTAAAATAAGAAATTCCGTTACATAGTCCGTTAAAACAACAAATTTCGTTAATTTTTCTGTTAAAAACAAGAAATTTCGTTACATAACCACTTTTAATATATAGAAAATTTATACAGAAAATAAACTCCAGATTATTGATATTTTTTATTTACTACAAATTTTAGGTTAAAGTTCATTTTGTGGTCCGTTTCGAAGCCTTCTGCAAGATTTATCATTTTCCTAAAACGCTCACTATTTCTGTGCACTTCAGCTGAACTCTTCAACCTCATATCTTCCAGTCTAAAACACCAAAATCTTCACAAAATAAAGCCCTCACAATAACACAGAATGGTTTTACAGAGAACAGTTCGCGGTCGCCATGTTCACACACTTTTCAAGCTCCAAAGCCCTTCGTTGTATTTCACAAATCCTCGTATACTAACCTCAATTTCTACAAATCGCATCTATTTTTCATTCCTTTCTTCTATTTTTCAAAGAAACTTCTCTCTTTTAGCTCATTATGAGCACAAAGAGTCTGGAAATTGTGAGGAAAAGAGTCAGAAAGCGAAGGAACGATTGAGCGTTTACTTCAAACAAGCTGTTGGGCTTTCAGGAGATATTAGAAATAGCGAGAGTGAAATTGAAACTGACACTCATAATGCGGAGTTGAAGAAGAAACTGAAGAAGTTGGAGGAAGAACTGAGGGGTTTGAACGAGGAAAAACCGAGAGAGATTTTGAAGACAAAGATTCCATCATTAGACGGGGTTTCGAAAAATCAGGTTAAATCGCGTTTATATACATTGTTTACGAATAATGGGTTGAAAAAAAATGAAAAGTCGGGTGAGATATATGCTTATGGAATTGAAGATCCAAGAGTTTACAAAAAGCTTTCCCCTGATTTGGAATCGTTCGTGTATCATCTGTACAAGGATGGGTACTTCAAGAATTCAAATTTCTTGCGGAAGAATAAGTACGATCCCACTTGTTTCGAGAACGGTTATGCTCGTGAATTTATAAAGCACGCAGCCGTGACTTTTGGAAAAGATAACCAGGAGATTGCAAAGTGAGAATTTGTTCTATTGCACTTGGTGTATTCTTTATCTTAACTGTTTATTTTTGAATTGCTGTTTCTTATATTCTACATTTTAAATATGATGATTGAGTTACTTTACTCTTATGGTATCACGAGCTCAAAGATTCATTTACATAGAATACAAGGAACATATTAAGGCATCCTAAAATTTGTGAATATATTAAAATTCATTTATTTGCAGTCTTCTCTTTTTTGCATTCCTCTCCTCACGTGGGTATGTCTTGTTCTGTTGTACTAACAAGTGAAGCGCGAACTGTTTTCATCCTATCCCCACTCCATCCCTCCAGGGTGAGGTTGCTGTCATTATAAATTAGGAAAATCTTTCATTCTCTTGTGAAGATAACTGCACAAAATTGGGAAACAATAGCATATTTCCATCTACTATTGAATGTAGGCTTTTTATTTGCTACGTCAATGATTTTCCCTTCTTTTCTGTGAGCTAAAGAGTCAAGGTTATCATTTGTGTTGGAGTAATTTGTGCATGTGTGAATTACTCCCTCTCTCCCCCCACCTTACCATTTTGATACTCTTCCTTACCTACTTCAAAAGGTTCTCTTGTGTCCTGCAAATAAAGCAAGAGGAATCGAGTGTTCTTTTTATGTACCGTATCATAAGAGGTTGAATAAGATTATTAGAAGTGAAGAAAAGTGATGGCGTGTGGTGGATAGCCACATGTTTTCTGTTGCATATTGGCTCATTACAACTTGAGTTGATAATGAGTGTATACTTGATAAGCTTTTATTATTTACTTTATACCACCCAAAAAGGAAGAGAGGAAGAAGAGAAGAAAATACTGTAAAATTATGGTCCTAATTGCAGAGCTTATCATTCAATTTTACTTCCACCATACTGAGAAATGGTCCTCCTTGCATTTCATAATCTGCTATCTCACCATTTTAGCTGGGCATGTTAAGTGAATTAGAGAATCAACCATCTAACTTCGTTTCTGCACCTACTTCCACAAGTTCTCTTTTTTCTTTCATCCCCTCCGCATGAGATAGGCAGTTTAACTCTTGGAATTTATTTTGAGGCTGTTTAGCATACCGACCACCAGTTTGACCCTTGACTTTTTACTTTTTCTATGTCCATGGCCAGGCTGGTTCTTAAAACCTGATATTTTCTTGATAGGCTTGTATGGTTAAGGTAAATGCAATATTCTGTACTAAATTCTCCACTCTGTGTCGTATATATCCCTAATCTTGTAAATTGGTGTATCAGATGGTTGTCTGCTAGTGATCTTAAAAAGGTGGCTCTTTTTGGATGCCCTTCCCTTGGAAAGAAGACTGTCTTTTCTTCTAAAAGATTGCGCGGATTCTTCAATATACAGGAGCATACAGTGAGTCAATTTTACCCCTCTAAATATTGCCTCCACAATTTCTTTCTTTGTACATTGCACTTTAAAAGTATTATGATGTCTGTTTTTATGCATTGTCAATTATCTTTCACATTCACCAATTAGGTTTTAAAATTCACTCGATTTTCTCAGGTTTGCCAGAAATGCCCCCTTAAAATGTCATGCAAGCTTGCAAATAAAATTGGCTTGAAAGATGATACCAAGATTTTATATTTGGCTGATGTGATGAAAGTCATCATTATGTATGCTATGGAGTCAGTACCTCCAGAGTTGACAGTGTCTGATGAAATTAAGAACTCTGTTAATCGGTTATTGAAGGAGGTCATCCGTCTCGGTTGTAATGTATCATAAGGCTTCTTTAGAATCCATTATTTGCATCAGCATTTTGGGTAATCCCAGTCTATTTTGTTGAAGTACTATTTTCCCTGTAAATTTTCTAACTGTCAGATCGATTATGCTATCGTACACTCATAAAACCAGCAAAACATAAAACAATCTATCTATGAATTGATTTATCATTCATAAACTGGTGAGCAAATTAGATTGTCCCTTTGGATAACGTCAAATCATATTTGGAATTACCAGATTTTACCAACGTACATTGACAAGGTAGAGTGTTATTTTTTGACCAATTTTTTTCTACTTGTTGATTCAAATGTTTCGAGTTAAGATTTACCTTGAGCTTTTGAAATTTGTTTATAACTGTGGCCATAGTTTCTCAATTGTCTCTTTGAATATAATAATATATGGCATTATTCTACTGAGAATATTTTCTTGTATTGTTACTGGTTAGAATTTTTTGATACCAACTACCTCCTTGGACAGGACATGTTTATTACGTAGGCAATCACATTTGGGCGATTTTACAAAACTATTATAATTGCTTATTGCTGGTACTGGTATCTGTTTCTCGTAATCTGTCAGCGAGAAAGACTTCTCATCATTTTTACAACTGTTGACTGCTCTTGGTGCTATTAACACAAGAAAACTGCAGAACATCAAGTGTGTGCAATTTCAATGATAAGATATGAATTTGGTCATGTTAGATTTCTTGTTTCTCCATTTCGCATGTCTGCTGTTTACAGGCTTAAGTTCATATTTCTTTAATTTTTCATTTTGTTTCATGATTATTATCTACTACTGTACAGCTCACAAAATTAGAAAATACAGCATAATGCTTTTGTTTTATGAGGGAATTTCTTTGACCATTTTATGCTCAAAATCAGTGAGCTTTACCATTAGATAGACGATGGACGAGGGAAGGGCGGCCAGTGGGTGCACTTACCCCTGCTGCTATTGGATTTTGGAACAGTGTTATTTTTTATTTTTTTTTTGAGCAAAACACTTATATAAAGTAATTATCAATATTTCCCCTAATTCCATTTTGCTCCAGCCTATTCTCATCTCATTTCATTTCTCAAATCAAATTCCCATTTTTCCAATTCACATCTCATTTTCCTACCCAGTTCCCATTTTCCCCATTCCGTTCATCCCTTCCCTTTAAATGTGGTAATTCTAATTAATGTATTTCATTAATTGGATCCTTCTAATTGAAGCTTTTGTAATGGCAAAAATTCCATGTGTAAGCTGCTTTTCAGTTGAATTGAATTTAGGAGATTGTGAAGAATATATTCAAGTTCATCTGCTCATGACAATTTTGTTTTAAGAATGAGGATAGCTGATTTTCTAGAATTGAAAATTGAAATGTACCTTAGTTGAAATGTGTTTGATGAGGTGATCTCACCTCATTTCATGTATTTTAATGCAAGGCTTCCATGTTGTCATCTATTAAGAAGAATGTCGTGTTAGTATATTAGGTTGTTCAATTTTTTGCACAATTTGTTTGCATTCCTAGTTTGCCACTGTCGGCAATTCATTAGCTAATGTTGAGTGTTATTGGAGGCAACCAATTTTTTTTTTTTGGCTTATTTGAACTTTAAGAATAAGATAAGCATGTTTGATTTTTCGCGAATACTGTTAAATGTGTTTTACGCAAAATCTATCCATAATCAAGTCTTGGCTCCGCCACCGGTTGAGGCAGTTTGTGACTGGATTATGAAAGTTTTGATCAAAGCTTGAAGACATAATAATTAGATCGATTTGGTGATAAGTTGAACTTATTCTCTTATTGTAAGAGTTTTGTTTGATCCTTGTATATATGAATGGCGCCAAAGAAGATGAATTACTAGAGAAAAAGGTCGAGATTTCGAACTTATTCCGACTATAGGAGTTCGAATTAAACAGGTGAGGTGGCACAGACCAATCTCCATTCGCAGTTATCCCCTGTTTGAGCCATGTTGTTATTTCTTGAAGATAAAAGAAAATATAAAGCTGTTGACGTGGACTTGATGATTTCCTCGCCATTCCCATAATGTAGGTCCGAATTTTTGTCTGTATTTCGATCATTGTCAATCTTTATCAATTGTGCAATGGAACAACAATTAAGTTATATGTACATCATTCTTGACAATGTGGTTGATATCCTTCTCTATATGAAAGAAATCGTACAAAAGTTAAATCAAGAGTAAGGGTCTTATCACATGAAAGAGTGTAAAGAAATAAGAGAAATGCTACATTCACAGTATTTTTACACATGCATTTGGGTCCATTCTCATGTGAGAGGACTGTCAAAATGTACATGTAAAAAGACTGTACATCCAGCCTTTTTCAAGAATTAATAATAATCAAAATGGTAGGGCCATAGGGCGTAACGAAAGCGTAGAGTAGTCTAATCGTACAGGGGTCACGTGAAAGTGAGAGCAAAATGGGTACTTTCCTTCCTGCCTCGTCTCCCACGCCGATAGCGGAGCGTTCGCCACGTGCGGCGGCAGGTGAAGTAGTGCCACGTTGACATGATGTCAGCAAGTCACGCTTCCGGCAAGTGGTCCCTCTCATCCCACTTACTTCTGTCGCTGTTTCTGTTTTCGGTGGTGATGGGAGGAAAAAAGGAAAAGTTCCTAAATGCCCTTTAAACAAGTTGTTCACCTTATTAACTTTTCAGTAAAACAAAATGAAAAGCAAATTAGACCATGGTCAAAGTATTTTGTACTCAAAACAAGTAAAAAATTGTTTTAAAATTAAGTTTGACGTACTTTAAATCTAAACCGAACGTACTCTACCAGTTGAACTATGAATTAATCTACTCAAACAGGGAATTGGAAATAGGGAAAGAAAACAGACAGAGTTGACAGCTTGTGATTGGACGGTTTTTTTTTTCAAATTTTTCCATCTCCCAATGAATTGTCGCCAAGTGTATCTGTTTGTTTTTTCCTATCAATTTTCCCTGTCAATCTAGCATTGCTCGTTGAACTATTATTAATAAAAATATTTTAACGAGTAAAACATGTAACTTATTCGAATAAACGTTCTTAGCAATTTGGGAATATTGTATTCCAGGGAAAAAAAAGTGATAATTGGCTTATTTTTTAAAGACGTTCATTCTTCTTTCAATCAACTTTTATTTTTTGAATTCTCACTTTTTCACTTTTTAACTTAAAAAAGTAAAAGGGTATTTATGGCAATGAAGCCCTTAAAATATCAAAGGCCCCACTGGCTAGTCATAGACATAGTCCTCAGTCGTTGCTGCACTAATCATATGAGTCTTCGAATTCATGTAGATCATAATTCATAGCTCTGCAATTCTGCCACCCTCCTTCATTGTTCACCTGCATTTTTCAACACAAATTCTGCTTTAAAAAAGCTTTTTCTTGGGAATTTGCTGAATTTTTTTTTTCTTTCTGATTCTGATTTTTGGATACTGCGTAATTTCGTTCAGTAATCTAGAATTTTACGAGAACGCGAGTGGGTTGAGTGATCAAAACAGAAGATAAAAGGGGGCAGTTAATTGGGGTGGAGTTGGGAGAATGACAGGGACGCGGTTGCCGACGTGGAAGGAGAGGGAGAACAACAAGCGGCGGGAGAGGCGGAGGAGGGCTATAGCAGCCAAGATATTTGCCGGCCTACGTATGTACGGCAACTACAAGCTCCCCAAACACTGCGACAACAATGAGGTCCTTAAGGCCCTCTGCAATGAGGCCGGATGGACCGTCGAGCCCGACGGCACCACCTATCGCAAGGTACCTTTGTTTATCTACTCCATTTTTATGTCCCTTGTGAATTTTGTTTTTTACCAGTTCATGATATTCATCGAGTGAGATTCTTGTGCTTCACGATTTTTCTGTTTTTTTACTTCACCATTGTACTTTAGATCCGGTCGGAACTGTAGTGTTTTCTTCACTTTTTTCTCTGTGTTCCTCTTTATCTTTGTTGACGCGTGAATTACGAAGATTAGGTGTCCATGTGCTTTAACTAAAGTCCCTTTATGGATTTTATTTATAGGCTCAAATATTTGAAAATCTCGCTTTTAGAACACATGAGCATGAATAATGCTATTCATGTTAATTTGTTCATCTCTCTCTCGGTTGAAGTGCCTGTGCTTGAGAACTGATAAATTAAATAGTCATTTTGTTTGGATAGCTCATTTAAGGAATTTGAAGATGCTTGATACTATATTTCAGCTCGTAGGTATGCTTTTGTGCTGTCAAAAGCAAGAAACCGAACCAATTTGTGAAATTAAATACGACAGGTTTTACTTGCCACATTGTACAGAAGAATGTTTGTTATTTTTGTGTTTGCAACTCTTAGGTGAAGGCTAGTATGTACTTAGTAGGGTCTTGCACCAATGTTCATTCTTCTTTCAATTCCCTCTTATCTTCTCTCAACGAATGGACATATTGACTTTGAGAGGCTGCCGAAATCCTTTATAATCTTCAAGATTTTTTTTTTTTTTTTAATTCTGTTCCGCTGTCACGCTGGTTATAGATGAGCTGAGATTTGAGAGAACCGTCGGTGAAAGTTGATGACAGTGAAAGTTTATCCTAACATACTAAATTTTCAGCTATTCTTCAAATTTATCTAATTATTTTCCATTTTTTCATCAGGGATGCAAACCAGTCGAGAATATGGATATTATAGGTGGTTCTGCATCAGTAACTCCGTGCTCGTCTTACCAACCAAGTCCGTGCACTTCATACAACCCGAGCCCAGGTTCTTCTTCGTTCCCGAGCCCAGCTTCTTCCTCGTATGCTGCGAGCATAAATGGAGATGGGAATTCCCTAATCCCATGGCTCAGAAACCTCTCATCTACTTCATCCTCAAAGTTTCTACATCAGTATATGCATGGAGGTTCTATTAGTGCTCCTGTTACCCCTCCTGTTAGCTCCCCAACTTCTCAAACCCCACGAATCAGGACCAACTGGGATGATTCTTTTGCTCGCTCCGGATGGGTAGGACCCCACAACTCACTCTTTCCCTCGTCTACACCGCCAAGCCCTGGTCGACCGATACTTCCA